GGCTGTGCCCTTGCCCTGCTGCGTGTCCCAGACCCCAGTTCTGGGGCGTCCCGGCCCTCCTGGCCTTGTGCGTCCCCAACCTCCTGCCTCTCACTGTCCCCATCCCCGTCCCTGTCCCCGACCCTGGGGACATGGGTGTCACTGGGGCTGTGCCCTTGCCCTGCTGCGTCCCGGACCCCCAGTTCCGGGGCACCCCGGCCCTCCTGGCCTTGTGCGTCCCGGACCCCCTGCCCCTCCCCGTCCCCATCCCTGTCCCCATCCCCGGGGACATGGGTGTCACCAGGGCTGTGCCCATGCCCTGCTGCATATCCCGGACCCCCAGTTCTGGGGCGTCCCGGCCCTCCTGGCCTTGTGCGTCCCGGAACCCCTGCCCCTCCCCGTCCCCGTCCCCGTCCCTGTCCCCATCCCCGGGGACATGAGTGTCACTGAGGCTGTGCCCATGCCCTGCTGCGTCCCGGACCCCCAGTTCCGGGGCGCCCCGGCCCTCCTGGCCTTGTGCGTCCCGGAACCCCTGCCCCTCCCCGTCCCCGTCCCCGTCCCTGTCCCCATCCCCGGGGACATGGGTGTCACTGAGGCTGTGCCCTTGCCCTGCTGCGTCCCGGACCCCCAGTTCTGGGGCGTCCCGGCCCTCCTGGCCTTGTGCGTCCCGGACCCCCTGCCTCTCACTGTCCCCGTCCCCGTCCCTGTCCCCATCCCCGGGGACATGGGTGTCACTGGGGCTGTGCCCATGCCCTGCTGCGTCCCGGACCCCCAGTTCTGGGGCGCCCCGGCCCTCCTGGCCTTGTGCATCTGGGACCCCCCCCAGTTCCAGGGCTCCCCAGCCCGCCTAGCCCTGTCTGTCCTGGACCTCCCAGTTCTGGGGCGCCCAGGCCCACCTGGCCTTGTGCATCCATGAACCCCCAGTTCTGGGGCGCCCCAGCCCTCCGGGCACTGTGAGTCTAAGACCTGCAGTTCTGTGGCGCCCCGGCTTGCCTAGCACTGTGCATCAGGGACCCCCAGTTCTGGGGCGCCCTGGCCCTCCTGGCCTTGTGCGTCCTGGACCCCTCAGTTCTGGGGTGCCCTGGCCTGCCTGGCGCTATATGTCCAAGACCCCCAGTTCCGGGGTGCCCCGGCCCTCCTGGTGCTGTACATCCGGGACCCCCCACTTCCGGGGCAACCAGGCCTGCCTGGCCTTATGCATCCGGGACACCCCCAGTTCTGGGGCGCCCTGGTCCTCCTGGCCTTATGCATCAGGGACCCCCCAGTTCCGGGGCGCCCTGGTCCTCCTGGCCTTGTGCATCAGGGACCCCCCAGTTCCGGGGCGCCCCGGCCCTCCTGGCCCTGTACATCCGGGATCCCCCCAGTTCCGGGGCATGAGGCGGCGTACGTGTGTTCGGGGGGGCAACGCACGTCCCTGCGTCCCTCCAGCAGCGACGGCCCCCCCCAATTCTGCCCGCAGTCGCCCACCTTCTACCGCGTGAGCCCGTCGCGCGGGCCGCTGTCGGGGGGCACGTGGATCGGCATCGAGGGGAGCCACCTGAACGCGGGCAGCGACGTGGCCGTGTCCGTGGGTGGCCGGCCCTGCTCCTTCTCCTGGTAAGGGGGGGGGTCGCCGTTGCCCAGGCAACCGGGGAGGAGGGGCTGGAGAGCTCGGCCAGGGGCGGTCGCTATGGAAACCGGGAGATGCAGGTTGCCATGGAGACCGGAGGCAGCCGGCCTGGCAGGTGGGCGCGGGGCTGGTCCCCTCCCCCCTTCAAAGCTGGGGGGAGGGGGGGAGGCGACCCTGGCTGCCGCCCCTCCCCCTTGGTCCTTGCCTGGGACGCGGGGCGGAGGGGGGGGGGACAGTTTTTGGGGCACAGAGGGAGGAGGATTCGAAGCCGAATTCTCAGACAGGAGACAGACGTCGCAGTGAGAGCCCCCCCCCCCGAGGCTTTGGAGTGGATAATTGTAGATTAAGCGTGATAATGGGAACTTCCCTTTCAATATTTTCCCTCCCCCGGATAATTACCCGTTATCAGGCTAATGAGGGGTGTCTGCGGGGAGCCCCGGGCTGGCGGCTGTCGGGGGCGGGGGGTGGAGGGGGTGACGTTTGCGGTGGAGCTTTGCCGCGAGGGCAGCGAGCTGGCAGCCCCGGTGGGCCCTGAGGAGGGTCCTGCTGAAGTCTGGCCCTGGCAGAGGCTCGAGGGGCTTGCCCGCCCCGAAGCGCATGGCCCCGCAGGCCCCAGGGGAAGGGGCGGTGGGCGTGACGGGCGCGGTGGGTCCGTCCCCGGCAGGAGGAACTCGCGGGAGATCCGCTGCCTGACGCCCCCCGGGCAGAGCCCGGGCACCGCCGCCATCGTCATCAACATCAACCGCGCGCAGCTCACCAACCCCGAGGTCAAGTACAACTACACGGAGGACCCCACCATCCTGCGCATCGACCCCGAGTGGAGCATCAAGAGGTGGGCGGCCCCGCCCCCTGCGCCGGGCCACGCCCCCGCACCTGCGCCAGGCCCCGCCCACTGCGCCGGGCCCCGCCCCCTGTACGGGGCCACACCCCTGTGTCAGGCCCCGCCCCCTGCAGAAGGCCACACCCCCTATAATAGGTCAAACCCGTGCCAGGCCCC